CTTATTTAATCAAACATAATTCTCATTCATCAAGGAATAACAAGTGAAATATCCACTAAAGCACAGCTTAAGTATATAACACCAACAATTCTTACTCTTTTCACATCCTCAAAGTTGTCTTCATAGTTCCCGGGAAGCTCGTCCACAATCACAAAACTCTTGTTCTTCTTTTTCTTCTTAATATGTTTTCCGAAGTTCTTGGAAGCCAAAAGAGGTTTCAGAGAATAAGAATCAAGAAACGAACTTCTCAACTCCATTGGCCCTAAAGGAGGCGCCTTTTTTCTGGCACTTGAAATCAAATATCCACTTGGGCGCGTCTTTTGTTCGATCAACTGTGAGCCCATGACGGACACCGCTCCAACCATCTTTCTATCTAATCTAATCTATTAAAAAAAGGACCTCTTATTTTTTATCTACACAAGAAAGAAGAAGTGGAAAGTATGGAAAGATTGAAGAAATTGAAATCCTCCTATATATAATCTCGAAATGCACTGAGTCTAGGTGGCTATTTTTAGTGCTTCGAAATCCTACTTGGCAAAGAATTATGCTTTGTAATTAAGTTTGGACAAATAACATTGATGTATTAATAATTAATAATCTAAATTCAGACATTTTATAAATATTATTGAGCTAACTTAGCTAGTTGAATATCACTTGTACTAATATAACCTTTTAATTTTTTGTAATTTTACATAGCGAATGTATCCATACTTTTAATTTGATTCCTTCAATTAGCTATTGATATTTTTTCTTTTAAATTTTATAAAAAAAGGAAACGCCAATCGATATTGTTGTTTGGACATATTTTCTTTTAATCACCAAGGTCAAGCTTTTTTTTTTTGCTTTTGAAAATTCTTTGCTGCGAAGTTTTTTAACAATTTCTGTTTTATTTCATTATTTATTTTTATATTTATTTTTTATATTATTATATAAATTATTGTAGTTCTACCATTTCTTTTAATCACCCGTGTATCACACTAAGTATAATAAAGAAAAACTAATCAGAAAAGCACAAAACAAAAAACGTGGTTTGATTTGAATTGATTAAGGAATTGCGAATAACCCTGACCATGATAATTGTTTGAGGTAAGTGTGCCTCAGTCACCGCTCACCACAGATTCTCAGAATCTATAATCTTCAGTTGGAGACTTTGGGCCACCATGGCATGATAGAACTTCTTGTCCAACATTATCTTGTCTTGGGATAAAATTATGCACTGTTGTTGGGCCCGAGTGTTATAGGACTTAGAATGCAGTTTGGTTAAGTTTCATAAATCTCAACAGTACAGGTCAACCCAAAAAAATCAGGGAAAAAGACACAAGAGCTTCCATAGGACTTGTTGGCATTATAGCACACATAATGCATTAGGCCCAATTTATATATGTGGCATATAAATGAGCTTAGTTTGAGCTTAGTTACTGAATGACATAGACAAATTCAAATTAAAAATAAAAATTAAAGAACTTTCCAATGCAAAAATAAAATAATAGGTCTTCAAACAATAAAACTATAATAATAAATGTGTAAACAACCAAATATGTTTCATTCCCAGATTCCTTGCCACGTTACAAGTTGTTTTTTCTTCTTCAACCAACAAAGCACGGGGATTGTCGCCCAAATCGTTGCACTGTTGTCGGGCGTCATCGTCGGGAGCCATTGTGCTTGTAAGAATATTGGTTTTGGCATCGTCCGACAAACCTAAGTGTTTATTATTATTATTATTATTAATATATATATATATATATATATATTAAGGAGAGTCCTAATCCCTTAGGATAAGGATTATATAATATATATATCTTATATATTCATTACCAAATATGTCACTTGCATTAATGAGTTTGATTCTATGACATGATTAATTTTTTCTCTCTTGTGGGACAAGGAATAAGTGACAAAGACTATGAAAGAATGAACTATCTAAACAAGATGGATTCTGGATATAGAGAAAATCTAAGGAGGATTTGGAAAGATTCACCGCAAGATCTTTGAGATTTGGAATATTTGATATTTTAGGAAAATCGTGTTCTTACATCAGTCTGGAAACTCAATTATGAAGATCTCAAACTCACATACATGGATTCTACCTGAAGCAAACTTACTATAAAGGACGAATTTTGTCCAATCTGAAAGGAATCAATTGAGAAGGGATTTGACTCCTATAAGTAAAAAGAAAAACTTGTGAATACTCCTTGTCTTAAGGGGACTGTATTTAAGCCTACTCAAACAATCAATTGATGACAGCTACTGCAATAATTGAGTTTATCATTCATTAGATCCAATGGAGTATTTTAGAGTTTTTATTCTTTTTATTTTATTTTATTTGGTCCAGTTTTTCAGTGTTCTTATATTGCTGAAGAACTGAGTTCGTTGAGTTCTTAGCAATTAAGTACTTTTGTAGCTGGGAGGGATCCATAGCTAGTTGCAAAGTCCACGTGTTTGTGGCTAGGGAAGTAATTGATTGGATCCGGTATACTGTTGGCTAGGCTAGGAGGGAGTCTAAGTGAAGTAAGTCAAAGTTGTACTTTGTGGGATGCATATTGATTTATCAAAGGAAGAGCTCTGAGGGGTAGTGGGATGCTTCCTGAAGACATATTTATTTTCATATTCGTGTTTCCGCAATTTATTTCTCTGTGTTGCAACACAATTTAGTAATACGAATTTTTTGTGTTCTAACACAGACTGCATACTCTATACTCCCCACCCTCGTTTCAATTGGCACCATCAGGTGCGGATGTAGTGAAGGACCATTGTGGGCCTAGGCCCACACTAGAAAAAAAAACCTATATATATATTAGCCCAAATATATTAGCCCAACTTTACTTATACAAGAATAATTCTAAACTATGACTATTAGCCCATTAAAAAAATTCTTAATATTAAGTCTATAAAAAGAAAACAAAAATGAGACCATATAAAAAGTCTCAATTTAACAACAAACTTAACCCAACATAACATAGATTTAATAAATAAATAAAGCCTTGCTTAGTTACTTTCTTATTTAAAAAAAAAAAATAGAATTAAGTTAGTAGAACTAGAGGAGCCTGGGGCTTTCACGCAGAAACAAAAAAGAATAAAGAGAAGAGGGGAAAGAAGAGAGGAGAAAGAGAGAAAAGAGTAAAAAATTTTATCCATTTCAATTGTTCGAGAATACGACGTGCAAGGTAACACCGTTTATGTTTATTTTGGTATTGGTAAAATTATTCTTCTTTATTTTTTAGGTAATGGTAATTTTATTATTTTCAAGAAGAACTTTCAAATTCAATCCCGAATGTGTTTATAGTTTTTTGAAGTGTAATATGTCAAAGTAGAGAATTTCAATTGATTGTGCATTTATTTGTTTATATCAGATATAGAGAGATATTATAAAAAAAGACCCCGTCCACAAAGTGTTTGTGAAAATGTCCCAAAGGGGATACTTTGAATCTAAATGGAAATGAGAGAAATCTTGGCATCACTGGGCAGAAAGAACCTACGACCTACAATTTAATGGTGATCGAGGAGTTTGATCCTTCTCAACTTCCCTCTGATCCCGGGTTGAGAATTCCAATCTCAAGGTACGGTCCAAAGATTAGAGACCAAGTTCGAAGAGCATATTTGCAGAAAGGTCCTTGTCAACCGTTTGATCACCATTTTCCTATTCATCGTCATCAATAAAGGCCAGAAGATTTATAGCTGGTTGGTTTACTGAACATGCGTGGTTGGAGTATAGCATTTCTAAAGATGTTGCATATTGTCTCTATTGTTATCTTTTTAAACCAAATAGAGGAAAACAATCAGGAGGGGAAACCTTTGTTACAGAGGGATTCAGATCTTGGAAAGAAAAGTCTAGACTTGATGTTCATGTCGGGAAACATGATAGTGAACACAATCAAGCGCGCATGAATTGTGATGCATTGATGAATCAAAATGTGCACATTCAAACAGCTCTAGAAAAGACAGTCTAAACAAATGAGAGATGATTATCGCATTTGGCTCACTGCATCTCTTGATTGTGCACGACATTTGTTGCGATTGGGGCCACCTTTTCGGGGTCATGATGAGTCAAAGGATTCCATTAATCCAGGTAATTTTCTTGTCACTCTGAATTTTAAAGAGCTCATAATGATGACATTGCTTCGGTGACAATGGAAAATGCTCCTAAAAATTGCAAGTTAACAGCTCCTAGCATTTTAAAAGGTTTATCATATGCCTGCGCCGCAGAAACTGTTAATGTGATATTGAAAGATGTCGGGGATTCTCTTTTCTCTATTTTGGTTGATGAATCACGTGACATATCAACTAAAGAACAAATGTCTGTCATTTTGAGATATGTAGATTCTTGTGGACATGTAAAAGAACATTTTATTGAAGTTGAACATGTCACAAGTACTACGACAATTTCTCTTAAAGACGCCATTGACAAGATGCTGTCGAGACACAAATTAAGCATATCTAAATTGCGAGGGCAAGGTTACGATGGAGCTAGTAATATGCAAGGGAGGCTTAATGGTTTAAAAACAATTATTTTAAATGAGAATCCAAGTACACATTATGTGCATTGTTTTGCTCATCAGCTCCAACTAGCCCTTGTAGCTGTGGCTACGAAGAATCTTCCGATTGCTGATTTTTTTCAGGTGGTTTCTCAACTGATAAATGTTGTTGGGGGTTCTTCTAAATGTTGTGATCTTCTTCAAGGAAAACAACTGAGCTATATTGACAGAGCAAGAGAAAGGGGTGAGATTTCAAGTGGGCGAGGTCTAAACCAAGAAACTAGTCTTCAACGGCCCGGTGATACATGTTAGGGCTCCCATTATAGATCTTTGATTAGCTTGATTTCTTTATTTTCTCCCGTGTGTGATGTGCTTGATGTGATCCATGCGGGTGATTATTCTACTTCTATCCAAAAGGTAGAGGTGGAGATATTATTGAAGTCGATTCATTGCTTTGAATTTGTGCTAAATTTGCATATGATGAAAATCATCTTGGGAATATCGAATGAGTTGTCCCAAGCGCTACAAATGACAGACCAAGATATTGTGAATCCAATAGATTTGGTTAGGCTTTGTAGGTATCGACTTCAAGAGTTGAGAGATAGTGGATGGGATTTATTATTTGTTGAGGTTTGTAAGTTTTGTGAGAAACATTCTATTGATGTCCCTGATATGACTAGCATGTTTATTCGCTTTGATCCGCGCGGTCGTCCACTTCGTAATGCACCCAAAATAACGAATTTTCAATATTATCGAATGGATTTATTCATTGTCGTGATTGATTTGCAACTACAAGAGTTACATGATCGTTTCACGGAGGCTAGTATGAAGTTGCTATTTTGTATAGCTTGTTTATCTCCACGAGATTCGTTTTCTGCATTCGACAAGGGGAA